AAAATAGACAGTGTATGGAAAAGGTCGTCATACCTAGCCGGACCAGTAAGTGAATCCCACTTAATTTCAGGTAGGTTAAAGTCACCGCTTATGATCATATGGGAGAGTGGATGCATGTTCCAGAGCCGTAATCAGTGGAATCTCATGATTGTTAAAGGTACCAGGTGCTCTGTAAACACATCCGATCAGTGCTGTAGCATTCCTGTAGTGTACTGTGACCCATAGAGAGTCACTTTATCAAGAACCATATTTTCCAACCTGAATACGGTGAGAGTGTTCAGGAAGTACATCAGGCAACCTCATCCTTTCTTGTTACTCCGGTCACATCGGAATTGTGTATACATGTCGATACTTATCTCTTCATCTGGTGTATTTGCGTGACACCAAGACTCAGTGATAATTATTACCGGCGGCTTATTTATGAGCGCTATTCCTCTTAATACCGATAGTTTGCTAAGGACGGACCTTGCGTTTATGAGAACGATGTACAAGTAGGAGGAATAATAGTGTGTAAAGCTTTCTAGTTCGCTAAACAAGCCAAAAGGTATCTCAGTGTCGCTTGACTGAGTATAGTCTGACGTCGTTGCGTTACAGAACGTCCCTACACCTTGTTCACTTGTAGCTGTAGAGTTACTAGGATATCCTAGTAGTAAATCGACCGCACAGTGACTTGAAATAGTATCACCTCTATCAGGGAAGAACAGAGCAGTGTTTTTATTTGTGTTAAGTGTGCACATTGTATCCAAATAAACAGAGTCTCGAGTATCTGTTACACAGAGGGTAGGTAGTTTTACTATTGTACTTGGTGGGTGTGTAGGGCTGGTGATACCACTTGGAAGATTCAACAGACCTGTTGTGCTTTCGCATCTGTTGACACCACTTGGGTAGTTGGTGTCTAGGATTGTGTGTATGGTTGACTGTGTCTTTTCTGTTGCTCCAAGGACGTTAAGACTAGCGGTTCAGAGTAAGGAGTTTCAACATCCCCATCAGTTGTTTGGCCAAAGCTGCAGCTGATAGGGATGCAATGGATAAAAAATCATCGTGTTTTTGTGGTCCACATAAACTTCTGCTCTGTGTTGTATTCCTTACCAGTGACTGCCTTCTGTTACAATTAACAACGGACGTAACTGGCGTTATGTTGGGTCGGGGGCTGTCTCCTAGTAAACTAGTGTCATGCAGCCGACCAAAGTTTTTCCTCACAAGGTAACCCGCTGACATTCTGTTATGGGTGGTTTGATGTTGGCTCTTCTCATTCGTAAACGATAGGGTTGGGTTGCTGTGACGTCTATTTTTGTTCTCGTTACTAGTGAGACTTAGCTCAGTGCACAGAACCTTCTTGGTGGAGCTACCGGTCGTACTTCTGCCGGTTCTAGAAGGGATTACGGGATCACTTCGGATCATTGCGTGCCTTCTACGTCCATCTCTGCGTGTTGGGTTCCATGGGAGCATTGATTTATCTGTTGCGTATAGGGTGGCCGATATCATACGACCTAGGCTGGTGTGGTTAGTAGACTTTAGGCCTCCAGCAGACCTCTGCGAGAGTTCTGTCACGTTTAGTGCTGTGTCAGGTTCCGCTTTGGGGCTTTCTATGGATACGTCTAGATCTGCAGTTTCAGGTGGTTGAGTCAAATCACGCATTTCACAGTCTTCCATCTCCACGTTGGTCGGTGTGTTTTCCGTATATTTGACTTGATAGAGTTTATGGAAGAAGAAGTCCTAGGCTTGGGTATATTAGGGGAAATACCTACTGCTTTAGTTTGTTGCAGCTTTGGAGCCCTTTGACTGTCAGGTCTATGAGCATGGTTGTAGACCTGCCTCTTCACTACTGTCTCATCAAGAACTATCTTTATTCCTGTGAAGACAGCGTTTCTTTCTGAGATAGATTCTGCTTTGGTGAATGCTTCCGCTCCTATCTGTGATTTAAATTGGAAGCGTATAGGACAGCAGTGGTCCTGCTGGCTTTCTTTAGTCGGAAACATTTTGCTTGGACATCATGCATTTTTGCTGTTCTAAGCAAAATTTCTCGCACCGCCTTCAACTTTGTCGTGTCAGGGACTTTATAAACTATTGCATTCAATTTAAGTGTGTCACCTACTTACTTCAGTGGTGATAAAGTTTACCAGGTGATCTACCTTGGATAGTGTTTCGATGTCAACTTCTTTAATGGATTCACTACGCGTCAAGATGCTCAGTGGCAAGAGGCTGCTTATCCGAGCTCTAATATCATCCAACTGGGATGACACCTTGAGCGCCCTTAACATACTTTCTTGTGGTGCATTATTCCGTTTGTCATCTTTTAGTCTGCATATTTCCGCCTTTAGTTCCTCTATAGAGGACTTCAGACTTCCGATTTCTGGAAGAAATAGTGGTGACAGACTTGGCGACTGAAGTCTGGTTAGTCTAACAAAAGATGTGGAGCTTCCATTGAGCTTTACGTCTTCCGTAACATTTAGTGTTGCGGTCTTATTACATGTTGGGCATACAGAGGTACTTCTATTATTATTAACGATGGCTGTCTTATCGAACGCAATTCTTCCTCTCTTGAGCATAACTGGAGTATGAGGTGACTCAATTATGCTGTCGCAAGAGGTTGCTTTTGGTATCACCAACATTTGAGTATTGTTGGTGCACTGTTCCACAGACAGTTATGTCCGTGCCTTTTTACGTGCATTAGCCATATCTAGTTGCATGTCTGACATGTGACTGGTCATTTGAGAATTCAATAGCTTTACGATGACGTTAATAACAAAGTTATGATACAGTTACGAAATCGCGTTAAAATATAACAATTTCAAACGTACCGCGGTGGCACTGTGCACATTCACAAGCTTCATCTGAAATTCATCAGGGGTGACACACATCTCAAGAGGCTGATCATAGAAGAGAAGGAAAACGCACGTCTCTTGATTCAACGCCAGACTGAGGTGCAAGAAGCATTTGGGTATATAGAAGACAAATTTCAAAAGTTGTCAAAGGTACTGATATTGACAGTCTAAGAAACCTGATGATTCTGCGTTTGTCGTAGTTAATAGTGTAGTAGCTGAGCACAGCTGCAGCCTACGAGCTAGCAGACGACAATTGTAACGCGCTCGTTATTGATACGTCGAATTTCCTTCAAGGGTGCATTTTATCTGAAGTGGCTTGAAAAAATGTCTCAGCAGTTGAAAATACATACAAAAACATAAGGATACCCATACTTCAAACACAGAAGCAGGCAAAGAGCTTCACTTAGCGTCGCTAATGGGATGGCCTATGAAGCTAGCCGATCAACCACACCAACACTAGGGTAGAAAACATTTTTGCTTGGAAATTCAAGAATAATTCATGCCTGGTGAGAGGGGCAGCCAAAGACCGGTTAGACACTCGAAACGCAGATGGTCTGGGTTGTTCAGAATCTCAGCCACCTAAAATCCGGGGAATCTGAAAGAGCGCACATTCTGTTAAATCCTCGAGAACTGGCGGTATTCAGTCGGAAGTGCCCAGAGTGTGCTGGTGTTCTAATTGTCCTTACAGGAAACCTCTCTAGATATTCGTTTCCAGAAGGTTGATAGACCTCTAACTGGAAACGAGAGGCTGTCATCCCAGTATATTAGGGTAACACTAAACTACTTTCTTCTAGAAATGTACCAGTCACCTTGATCTCTTCAGCTATACGGCTTTGAAAAGGGTAACGAATTGATTGTTTCGCCTTTTTTCATGGAAGCTTAATCCTACCTACCTGGAAGGTCATGTAATATCAACCCGTTGATAGCATAGAATAGTAGAATCCTTCCTGTTGAGCAGAATAGGCCCATTTACATGCGGTTATTTAGCTGTTTTAAGGCCCTTGACGCAAGTAATCATGATATACTTCCTAAGAAACTTCATGAGGGTGTGTGTGAAATTACTCAGTCGGTTTAAAAATCGCCTTAACTGTTACGTACAAGAGGTCAGAGTGGGCTTCTTCACAGTAAAATGGTTTCCGATGTCGTATAGTGTCTCAGTGTTCTTTTCTTGTTTCACCACTGTTTCTTGCCTTTAAAGCAGCTTGACATCACATCTGAATACTCGCTCATCACCATTTGCTGATAGTTTAAATGGTTTAGGGAGGTAAGTGAGCCGCTGAATATCTCGATCCGACAGCAAGGCTTTCCCTAAAGTGAAGCTTGATGAGTGAAAACCTGCTCCCTCCCAATACAAAGTGTAGGGGTATGATTGTAGGCAAACACAGGTGTATTTACGGCTTTTCTTCTCCAAGGATCCATATGCTTTCCATACAAACACTGAAGGAGATCTGAAGGTCGTTCCAAGTGACACACATGAAGCCTCTCTCTCCGTTGTTGCCTGGTAGCCGACAAGGCACAGGATTTCTCCTTCGAATTCCATAAATTTTAAGCCTGGTCTTTTCACTATATTGCGTGAGCTATATTTTCTTCATCATTTGGAAGAAAATTGGCTGAGTGTGTCTTCATACTTGAAGATTGCCAACGCCATCCCAAAACGGTTTTAGAGTAGAGCTTCGAAATAAGTGATTGGGTCACTGTACGAAATTCATTTCGATCATCTCAGTCTGTTTATTAGAAAAGTCACACTAAAAAAGTATTAATAGCTGGATAGCGTTTCAGGTGTAATTCGCCGCCCATATTCTTATTCTCTGGATCACATAGTTGTTCTCCAGTTGCATTCGGTAAGGCTCAAGGGGCTCAGAGAGAATATGATGTCTGTGCTGAATATAGCCTTTAATCCTCTCCACGTTAGGTTGTGGCGACAAACCACACTTCAAAGGTTATCATTTCACCCAAAAGCATAAGAGAGCGCAAACGATGACCTGGGTTAATTCATATATCCCTCCGTGAAGAAGCATATCCGTTTCTCCTGTTGCTTTTAATAGGGGGTCACATTCACACTCAGACATCAAAACGCATGTGGAATTCAAGAAGCTGCTATTGATTAATTCCACAACAAAAAGTTCGAAGTTGTTGTTTGTCTGGGTAGATGTTCGCACCATGACCTTGTCGACTATAGTAACTCATAAGTGGCTTTTGTAAAATTCATAGTAATGGCTGAAGTTGCCATCATTCAGCAAGTAATATACTTCAAACGTCTTCCTCATTAATTTCACTCCATAAATATTGGTCACTTATTCCGAATTTTGTCTGAGCGTTTTCCTGAATTCCCTTTCTCAATTATTTCAGTTCACTGGAGTGTTGGCATACTTAAGTATTTGTCAGCTAGTTTTCATATTTCAGATATGTTAATAAGGGACGCATGGTCATGGGCTTGTCTGTTCCTTTGCTGGGATACCTCTTTGTTTGTCCTATTCTTTTCTGGATGGATCAACTGACGACTTGGACACCATTGTGCATGTCTTCTCGTAGTCGGTTCCAACGTAGAAAGTGTTTACTGCGGATGCACTTGGTCAGTTTTAGACAAAAACACAAACATTTAACTCAATATTTGGGTATTGTAAGGAAATCAGTACTTTTCTCTTGGGAACTTCTTTTCTGGTTATTTTACCGGCCAGCTTATTCTTTCCGGAAGTTCAGATTTAGTAGGAGAACTAAGACTGTAATAAGATTCAGATTCAGATTCGTTGTTTGAGATCAGGAGACAAGGTGGCTATATTAACCTTTTTCCGGTAGAGTTCTGTGCTTGTCTAGTCCCCTTTTGAACGAGTCAATTGATGATGCGGACACCAATTCTTCTGGCAGTCGGTTTCAGGCTTTCGTTACTCGACGCGAGAACCAGTACTCTGCGGAGACTATGTTTTGTTTGCTTTTGTTGTCCCCTAATACGTCCTCTGAGATGTTCTGACCTAGTGAGAAGGAAAAGAGGAGATAGATCTCGTCCGAAGTCATTTCTTCGAATTCTGTGTAGCATGATTAGGTCTCCCCTCTGTCAGCGATAAGTTTCCAAAGTATGCACAAACAACACGGAGGCCATGCTGTGAACTCAACAACATAGCATGCATCTCTAGATAAGCCACAATGGCTTCTCTGGTCACTCTTTTAACTATGGTACTAACTAGGATTATTATTGTTATTATTATTATTTATTTGTCCTTTGGTTCCTAGTGGGACATAGGCTTCACTGGCACGTCGTCATTTCACGCTTTTCTCTGCTGTCTGCTTAACGTGGTTACACGACTGCTCAGAAGTTTTCAGTTCTTCCTCACATGATCCCCTACATGCCATCCTTGCCTCGAACGCCCAACTCGTCATTTCTCATTCGGCATCCACTCAACGGCCTAATCTGACGCGTGATGTTCTCAGATAGTCTTCTTAGTGTATGCCCAGTCCAGTCCAATCCAGCTTCACTTTCTCCTACTGTATATTCGTTGGTTGGTTGGCTCGTTGCCAGCCAGAGTTCTTGTTGCTTATTCTTATTATTCTGACCATCTGATCTTCAGTGTCAGTATCGAGTGAGTGTGAGCGGTAACTGTTCTTGTATATCTGTAGTTTGTTTGAAATGTTTTTCGTAATGCGTCAAGTTTCTGAACCATATAGAAGCACTGACTTGACATTGGTGTTGAAAATGCGGATCTTGTTCACGCTTTATGTTGAGTGGAGTGGAGTGGAGTGCAGTTGATCTGCACACTAATTTCAGTTAAATGAAGGCCTGTCTTCCCGATCCTGGCTTTGATGTCCTCGTCTTTGCCGCCGCCTGTAGTTGAAACGATGCTGCCTAGGTAAGTAGATGAAAAGAGACTTACTTCAGACTTCTCCCCTTGATAGTGATTGGTGCTTGTTGTTGTTGTTCTTCATCACCTCTGTCTTATCTGTGTTCACCTGAAGGAAGCCCCGTCATCCTTCTCTGCCTCGTCTCTTCTACAAACTTGCTAGTTTTCGTCTGAAGATCTTTGAGCTCGTGAGACATTAGACATAACTCATAACCGGCGAAATCCAAATCTTCTGGGGTATTTTTATTGGTCAAACAGCGTATGTCCATCCTCTCACTCCACACAGTTGCCTGTTGCATGATCCAGTCCAGTCGACCATAATCAGGAAGATGATCTGTGATAGTAGGTAGCAACCTTGTCTTACTCCTGTCTTCACTTCAAAGGCATCAGTGAGCTTTCCGTTGTGAATCACTTGACATGTAGCATCATATAGCATATAGTTGCTGAATGAGCTTAATAAAGATTTGTGCCACTAAAAGCGTAGTGTCAAAGAAGCTGCCTGATAAATTACTTGGCCGTCGACGCTGCTGAACGGCTTTTCAAAATCGATGAAGTTGAGGTAGAGTAGAGTTGACTGTCATTCTATGCTCTGTTCTATGATGATGTGTAGCGTTGCAATTTGATCCGTACATGACTTGTTTTTCCCGAAGCCAGCCAGCCTGTTCCGTCGTAGTTTTGAATCCAGCGCATCTTTTAGTCGCTCCAGAATGATACAGCCTAATATTTTGCTTAGGGTGGATAGGGAAAATAGCATGATTTTCCCTTGGTTCTTGCAAACACTTAGGTCTCCGTTGTTTGGAAGTTTGACAATGTAGCCCTTCTTCCAATCGCGCACAGTGATACAGTATTATTTACTTGATTACCTTTCGAGCATAAATTATTGCTCATAATCATTCCAATATGGAATTACATTCTACCACAGCACCCAAGTTTTACACTTCTTCCAATCGATTGGCAGGTGCCTATCATTCCTTCCTTTTTCCTTGCAAACCTTCTGCACTAGAGATGTGAGCACGTCTACTGGTATCTCTGCGTCCTGTTCAGTTCTACTTTATCATTTTTCTACTAAGTGATGAAAGTTGACTCTAGGACCGTAATGGCTACTTGATGTACCGCTTATTTCTAAGTGCTTGTTATTTCTCCGAGTCTTTGGATTTGAATTTTGACGACGATTTGGTTCAGCGACCTCAACACTGATTAAGTCAAACTAAAATTCCATCCCTTCATGCATGCGCTGTTACGAGTTGATTTTTTGGACTAGGCGGGACCTACATCTCATACGCTTTCTTAGATGGCACTGGTAGTGCTGCATCTCTGTCCTTCACACTGGAAACTGACCTGAATTTACTATTAATAGTCTTCAGACTGAATCTGCTAGCTCTGAGGACGCGAGAATCTCCAGATACTCGATTCACCTTGCTGTGTATAGCTTTTTACAGTCATGCTTGGAAGTGATTTCTAAACCAAACTTTCATTTTTGTCTTGAAGATTTTAGGTCCTGCACAGTTACCTGTGTGTAAATAGATGTAGTGTTACCACTCCTATCACAATAGTTGGCCTTTCTTAAGGATTTCAACTTCTTCTTAATAGTATTCAGGAATGAATCAGCTTCTTCAGCTACTCCACGGATGTCCAAGCAGCATGAAAGACAAAGGCAGATACTCCTTTCATTACAGTGCCTTTTGTATGCTGCTACTGTACAGCTGTTGTGATAACACCTTCTTCATCATTGCATTGCATACCATAGGCTATTGCAGATTGGTACCCCAACCTACCACAATCATTTCTGTGAGATTTGAGTTGACCGTCTCGCAGATATTTAGATCGAATAGAAACCAGAATAACTGAGGTACAAACGAGAATTCACTTCACTTAGGAAAAATAAATGAAATTGTTTTCGAAGAGAGGCTATTCATCCATTCAAAGTGGCAAGGAATATACTCACTTTGATAAAATGGAGCTCAGAATGCACTTCTGAATGACTAGTATGGAAACTATCGTTGTTAGATGGCAAAAAATCATTGAGTAAACTTTACCTTATGGGTTCAGACGATTGCCATTCGACTAACACTGGTAATAGTCATTTTTCTGTTTTCAAGTGTATTTTATGGTTGAGTACTAAGCAGGCAAACCATATGTCTTACTTCCATATTTGCAGGGCAGATGTGACGTGAGGTTGGGTCAAAAAGTAGGTTGGTTCTGTAGTGAAAAATGAGAGGGCGAACAGAGAGAATATTGAGCATGAAGCTCCAATTTCCTGTGGTTAGTCTCCTGTCACTTTTTTCTGTTACTTGTAAACTCCTCGTTGGCTTCCGCTTTTGCTATGTTCAACTTTCTGTTTTCTCCAGCTTCTTTGTGTCTGTTGTATTAAATTTAAAGCAGTATGAGCATTGTTCCAGGTTTTTGATGGATAGAAAATATATCAGTTTCTCTGTTGACTACATCCATGTCTGAAATCTGTGCCAGTGAGAAGTGATGAACTTAATCTAACATAATTCTTCTTCCTGTGTTCCAAGAGATGTAGTTATGATTGGCACAGTTCTGTATAGGCAATTAAATACTAATAAGGGCAACAGAAGCTTTCAGTAAGTATCATTGTACGTGTCCGCTCTGACCATGATGATCTGGAAGGGAAAAGAGGGAGAGAAAAATGGTGAGCCGACGACTCAGCAAGTACACAGTATGTACTTACATTTAATAATAAAACATAACTGACAAATGGTAGAGCTTGGCAACGAAAAGGTGAGACAGTCTAGAAATCGAAATTAAAATGTAAATTAGTAAGATTTCGAATGCGTCACACTACCCTTCTTTCTTCGGAGCCGCTATCCTCAGTGCCTTGTTGTACCTGAGTGAGTTAGAGGCTAGGTGTGGTGTGCACGTCGATCTGATCGTGAGAGAGCGAATCCCACGTCGGACACCAAGATGTAACGACCAGCTGTTGATACGTTTTCGTCTAACCTGTAGGTAGGTACGCTGTTGCAGGGAGCGCGTAGAGCAGTGTTAGTTTACTGGCAACCACGAGGAAGAGAATAGACGAAGAGGAAAAAGGTGAGACGACGACTCAGCAAGTACAGTCTGCCCAGCCTCTGAGACAGGGAAAACATTTGAGAAAAACTCAACTCGGAAATATAGTTTCGCAAATTATATTAAAAACATAACAAAGACAGAAGTCGTTTCTTCTGTCGTCCAGCTCATGCAGATTAAGGTTATAAAGGGTGAGGTAAAACATAATGTTGCTAAATAGACTGCGTATTCTAGTTAAGTCAGTGTGAAGGCAGAACTTCACAACATGAATGAAAACATTATCATTAGAGATTTGATTCTCGCAACTCTGAATACTCCATAATGTTCAATCTCACCTTAACCCTTTGAAAGCGTGAATACGTGGATTCTATGGGAAGTTTCCACTGGTTTCCAGCTTAGTGCGTTAAGTGGCGTCCCCGGTACATACGATTTGGCTACATGCTTGTATCGTTAGATAATGCCTCTCGTATATGCAGCTTCGCCGAAGGCATATAAGCAGTAAAAACCAGTTCATAAGTCGTTATATATGATATGATAAGCCAATATAAAATCACTTTTAATCTAACAATGATAAGAAATACAGTAAGTCAAACTTTATTTGAGAAGGGAATTGAAAATTCTTTTCACAGTTTTACTTTCCACCTTCTGGATTCATCCTAACACATCTATTCTACATTTTCGGTCCTCATTAAAGGCCTAGGGTTTATACTTTGGATGAAAAGTTATACGTTTCCAGCTTAAATTCCGAAATACATCATTTTTCAAGCTGTGGAACACCTTTCAGATAGACCACAGAACTTTGAAACTTCTAGGAGCCTCTAACCCATAGCTAAATAAGGTTTTTATTTCAAAGACCTGGAGGCTGCTGTCGCTTGATAATTCATGCATGTAAATGATCTGGTAATCGTGTTGATCATCCAGTAACTTATCCCATCTTTATTACTATACTGTACTGCTAGAACTAATCTCATGGGCCATTCTACTAATGTAGCTAAATCGTCCTGTAAGAGTAGTCTATGCTCATCACTACACGTTACGCTAAAACAATTTGAAGCCATTACAAAATTTCAGCGTGAAAACCTTAGTTTTAATCATAGAGTTGGAAGAGAAGCTGATGATTATTTGTTATTATTTATCCCTTGGGTTCCTAGTGGAACATACTGCTTCACTAGCACGTCTCCATTCCACTCGGTTCTCTGCAATCTTTTCAACCTGGCTCCATGACTGCCCACAAGCTTCCCCACACGATCTCCTTCATGTCACCCTCTCCTCGGACGCCCAACTCGTTGTTTTCCATCTGGATTCCACTCAGATGCCTGGCACGTGATGTCCCCGAGTGGTTTTCTCAGTGCATGTCCAATCCATCTCCATTTCCTTCTGCGTATTTGTCGAGCGATAGGTTCTTGGTTGGTTCGTTGCCCGGTCAACATTCCTTGTTGCTTATTTTTACTATTCTAGCCATCTGAGCTTCAGTAATGAGCCAGCGTAGGCAGTTGTTGAGGAATATCTGTAGTTTGTTGGAAGTGCCTTTCGTAACGCGCCAAGTTGAACCAAACATAAGCACTGACTTGACATTGGTGTTGAAAATCCGGATGTTGTTCACGCTTTATGCTGAGAGCCAGAGATCTCCACACTAGTTTCAGGCTAATGAACTCCTGTCTTGCTTTTCCGATTCTGACTTTGACGTCCTCGTCTGTGCCGCCTGTAGTTGAAACAGTGCTGCCTAGGTGGGTGAAAGAGGCTACTTTCTTTTAGTTTCTCCCGTTGATGGTGATTTGTGCTTGTTGTTGTTGGTTGGGTATCATCATCACCTCCGTCTTTTCTACGTTCAACTGAAGTCCCGTCTCCGCTGCCTAAGAGAAGCTGACCTGATATAGTTTTTAAGTGAATACCACTCCCCATGGTCTGCATATTGTTGAAACCCCATTTCCTCTAATTTCCTACCTTCGCCTCTTTTAAATGTCTTCTTGGTGCTTTCTCCAACCATACTTTTAATCTCAAAGTATTCCAGTATTGTCAGAAGAAATAGGACTTGCAAAAGTCAACAGATATTAGACCAAGTGATAACAGTGAAGTTGTTATTCACTTTAATGAAATTTCTGAAGAAAAAATGGTCAGTCCGAAAGCATTTAAGTGTTCATTACGTTCCATGTCTCCCATTATGGTACTACAAATGATCTTTTCAATACTTTAACAACTAGAATGACTAGTCAGACTAACATGGTTATGTATATGAATTCTTGTCAAGATTTGACGGGATAGTTTTTTAAAATATTGGGTGCCAAGTGAAAAGCTGACATCAGATATACTTTATATCTGGGAAAATGTCAGGGTATTGATATAAAGTATTGTAATGTCTCGCATGGAAGTCTGGTTCGAGCTTCCTGAAACACACTGGATTTTTCCATATAAAACATAAAGTGATGGTAGTTATATGGCGTTGTTTGTATTATCCCGTCGTTGATTGGATTGAATTGATTAGCCTGCTAGATTCTACTGTTAGCTGCCACTCATCATTATTATCAAAGCGATGACATTTAGCCTATCAGTGTTCATGACTGGTTTTTAGATCGGTTGATAACGACATCCTTCCCATTTCTCGATGAATCTCGTGAACTCAGTGGTAGACTAAACAGCCTAGATAGTAGTTCAGTAGTGATATTTACTGCTGTTTATCATGAATATAACTTGTCTGTTTTTTAGGCTTCTACACTAAGTACAGCATCTGAAGAATCGTTATGGTACCATTTTTACTTTCATAGTTACCCCACGCATCATAAATAAACAAGTTTAAGTCAGTTTCCAAGTCCACCGACAAAGCAGGTTCTATGATTGCCAAGATGCTTGCATGCTATGTATTCAAACACAGCTAAGTCTGTTAACCACCATATCAGAAGTTCTGAGTTCAACTAAAAGCGCTAAATGGTCGCTGTCTGCTAATAGTTTAGGATACTGAAGTTGTGTACAATAGTCTTTTCATGTATCAGCATAGGAGCTAATTAGAGAGCTCGTTGACCTTAACCGAAATACTCAGCTTTGAGATATACCGCATTACGATACGCACTAAAATAGAAAAGAGCAGCCCTTGTAAACGAGATCATTATGTCCATTGAAGTTACCTTTTGGAGTGGTAATGTGACAAGCTACACTGTAAGTGTTATTAGAATATATTTCTCCGGTAAAATTTCAACTAGCATTATGGAGAATGTCGTAAGCTTAGATGGATGATCATGGACGTGTTGTGTTCTCTTGGCTGGATGCTTTAGTTGTGAAGTTTTCATTGTCTGTTCACAGATAGAATCGTCATCAGCCCTTATTGCAATATGTACTAATTAGTATATGCAGTACAAACATAGAAAATCTGTTTCAACACACATATAGTATTAGCACGCCATATATTGAAAAAAGCGTCTAAGTAACTTTATACAATATCTGCGGCAAATACGAGGATCAGAATACAAGGATGCATTGATTTCAGTTCAGTACTTTTCAAGTTTCATTCTTCAGCTGGACTTGAATCAAAGCGTATTTTGAAGGTCTTTTGAAGCAAGCTATAAGGCAGACAATAGTTAATATATTTACTTTTTAAAAAAAAACTTAGAAGTAATAGGCTAAAAACATATACAGCTTATAGTGAATACTTCATATTTTATAAACTAACATATGCTTAGTATAGATTTTAGGTTTTCCTGAAGGTTGATTACTCTAGAGTAAGTCTAAGAGTTACTGAAGGACATTTTGTAATGAGTATAGTCATGATTTATCGATTAAAATTGAATCTAATTTCAAGACCATAGCTTCAAGTTCGAAAAGAAAATTTGGAAATGATATGGTCTACTTACGTTCATCTGACTTGTAGAAAAGCAGATCTGAAAGTAATCTACATCACAGATTGATATCAACAAGGGAATCATCGTGAACCAGATGAAGACAAGAAATGTGATTCGTTTAGATGTCTGATAAGTTAGCTGTAATGTTGGAGACTGCGGTTCCCTTTTTGAAATAACATGTTTAAATAAAACAAGATGGATTAGTAATTTGCTTTCAGTTTCCACCTTCCATTTACAGGTATGACGGCAAAGGGATAGATAATGTGTAGATAAAAATGATAAAATCAATAATATTATGTTCAAATTTCCGATAATCATAGGAAATGGGTACTTTTGAGATACTTTGACTGAGTTTGATTCGCTTCAGTGATTCTCCTTTTCCTTTTCAGATCCTTTATGCCACCAAACTCAAAAGATACTCAGAAGCTTAATGCATTTCGCACTTTGATTCAGTTCTTCTTAACTTCCTGTTCACCTGATTCACTCGACATTCGCGTAGAAAACCTTTCAACACAAGAAATGTTTCACATTCCATCCACCTCATCTTCCTGCCCATCTTCCTGTAGTTCCACAACATCTTAGATGAGGTATAAAGACACATATAGTTAAAAACCAGGCGCTTCCTCAAACCATCAAACTACACCCAAAAGGGTGTAGTAGAAGGGATTACTATGAAAGAATTCTCATACCTTGACAGGTGGTAGGATGTTTCACCAGTGCAATAAGTCGTTGTCACTGCTATTCATTTTGTGTGTAAAACACCATGCTTCATGAAAGTTGCTTTTCAGAGAATAAAATGTGTACGAGTGATCGCATATTTAAATAGTAAATGGTGACAAATTAAATTTCTATCTCACTGGAATTTCACAAAAATATCTCCTTAATGAAAGTCACTTTTTATTCTTACTTAAGTATAAATGACAAACCTAAGATCTCTTTTGACAGTTACAGGATGAAATATACTCAGCTGATAACCAAGAAGATGTGAAAAATGAACCGACAACAATACCAGCTCCAAGTGATCCAATCAATCAAAAACAACACGCTCTTCCATCATTTGTTGAATTATCTGGTCATATGGTGAAGGAAAGAGTTGAAGAGCATGCATCAGATTACAGAATTATGCGTCGGATCATAGCTGAAGATCCAAGCTACAATTTAACTACTGTACCATCATTAGTCGATTTATGCATAAAACACTTTTCAGACAACTTTGAATGTATGTCAAGTTAATACCACATTTATTTTGTCATTCTACTTTAACCACTGTATAATATCTTGGTTGTATTGTGTTTTCTGGAAGCTGGGTTGTTCAGTCGTGAAGCTTTCATCGTCTTGCTAGACGACATCATCACCAGCACTAACCTCAGTATGAAGTGAGCTGTCAATATCTCTCCATGAGTGATTTAGTAGCTTGCCATGACGAAGTGGTCTGTGATTGGTTATTTCCTTTGATTATTGTGTCATCGACTGACTGTATAGATTTTCCTGTCGGCTGTTCCTCTGCCTGAACCCTGCCCTTTTTGTCGCTTATCACAAACGATATCATAAACGTTTATGATAAACGATAGAAAGGGCAGAGTTCAGACAGAGGAACAGCCGACAGGAAAATCTATACAGTCAGTCGATGACACAACAATCAAAGGAAATAACCAATCACAGACCACTTCGTCATGGCAAGCTACTAAATCACTCACGGAGAGATATTGACAGCTCACTTCATACTGAGGTTAGTGCTGGTGATGATGTCGTCTAGCAAGACAATGAAAGCTTCACGACTGAACAACCCAGCTTCCCAGAAAACACAATACAACTAAGATTATCCAAATGAGCTATAAGTATTCTCCCCTACTGTATACTATATTTAAGTAGCTCAGAATTATATTGTGAAAGGTAAATGCATAGACCATACTTAGTGTCATGGGTAAAATCGCAGAGTCAAGAATCAGTAATTCTTGTGATAACTATGATTAAACCCATCAGGACGATAAAAAATGTCCATCAAATTTTCTTGTAATGAATCTTTCCTAAGTTCATCAAATCATGTGATTAAGGTTGAAAATCAGACTACTTTGTACGGTTATACACTACCCCTTTCTGTCAATTATCCATGGGTTCCATCCTACATGAGGTTGGTGAGTGCCCATTTCTGTTTAGTCCCGAAGTGGAACAAAACAGCTGTCTAATGCATTCAGAATTTCGATGGCATTTGGTTAATATATTATAGATCTGTGATGAAGGCTTCTCTGAAATCATGTATGAACTTATCGAAATGATAATCGGTTATACAGCAATCCACTTGAGTGGTTTTATGTGGTTTACAAGGAACCAGTTTGCCGAATCTTTTTGTGGAAATTATATGCTCTACTTATGTTCACTTGACTTGTAAGAAGCAGATCTGAAAGTAGTCTACATCACAGATCGATATTAACAAGGGAATCGTTGTGAACTAGATGAAGGGAGAAAGTGGAATTCTTCCAGTTCAAGACACTTCAACACTCCACATTTATAATTTCACGCATCATCGCGTTATATGATTCAATCCGAGTAATTGACTAGTTAATTACTCTTGTGGGACATGAATGTTCTGTTTTCTCTTTGGTATCTGGTTGTCGGTTTAAGTCTAAAAATGTCTCTCAATAGTTTTTCGTCGTTCCCACCTCAGCATCGAATTTCGTGATGAACCAATAGAACAGATGTGAAACATTTTGGAGATATAACAGAGTTTACTGAACAAATAGAACATGCAAATAAATACAGAGTCGATTTTATCATATCTGTTTGTCACCTCAGTGACTGTAGGCAGACCAACAACCAGAGTATAGATATGACGTTTCATGTGTATTTTTAGTAGGTGAACTGCCTCTAGATTCGACATTCTCCGTGAAGGTGTTTAGCTTTTACTCAACAGACGTTGGTTGTCATATTATCAAATAATAATCATAGGCAGAATCAAGGACAATAACTTTTCCCCACTTGTGGCTTGGATATACATCAAGGCATACTGATATCGCTCAGTCAATGGGATGTAAATAGACCCCAAGGGAAAAGCCCAGCACAGAAACTACGGCGTAATGTTTAGTAATACGAAAATGGAACTATTGGTTATATCCAAGCAAACAGTCGACACGTCAACACAACCTGATCAATTGGATCCTGAAAATCAACTATTGGAAATTTCAAGCTTTGATAATGAATTATTTAATGTATTCAAAGTAGTTTGTGAAGAAATTTGATGTTTCATAGATAACCAACAGTCGTCACAAAACACCCAATAAAGGTATATTTTAAGACGCTTTCAAGAATCACAATACAGAAGGCTCTTCGATCCTTTTCAAACGACTGAAATTTCTAACCACTAATCAGGATTTAAAAAGTATTGGAAGACCAGAGATACAGAAACGTGAATCGGAAATACGTGCTGTTTTAGCAGTCATCTGAAAAATGGGATCTACATCTTTAGAAAAACTGATGACCCTTTCTAACCTAGTTGAAATAGTATCATGTAAATCTGTAAACTGTTAAACTCTGTCACGAGTTTTACAGTAAAAAGATTGATTTGATTTGGGTTATTTATCTGCTTAGATTTGGCTCAGATGTGACTACACGTAATGAGGTTACAACTTTGTTTTTGATCACTAGGACAATAAAATCAAGTTCCCATCTCAGTTACATAGGTTATTTTCTGTATTGTCAGATGCTTATGGGAGAATATGTTTAATCTGAGGATTGTTGTCTTTACGAAATGTTGTTAGTGACGCACTTACTGAAAATCAGGCCAAACTAGACGGTTTCATTAACCTAGTCTAGTATTTAAAGCTTGTCACTGATTATATTGAGTTAAACTTATAATCTTACCATTCAGGTGACCGCTCTCAATATTAATTCATGTTATAGAATTTAAACAATCGATCTCTGGATCATTGGTCTAGTCACTCGACTTTCAAGAAGTGGATTGAGCGTTCTAAACCTACCCTGCCTACCGAGCTTTAGGAAGCCAAGTTGTGTATTAGTAGCTGTCATACAGTAGGTGTGGTTCACTGGTCATTTCATGCAAGTCCAGTAGGTTATTCAGTGTATATCCAGCTATTTTGAGTATCTTTCTGAACAAAGAATATCAATAAAGTTTATGCTGATAATGATGTTGTGTAGAATGTTAATGAAAGCTTACTGATTAAACCATCCAGCTCGGAAGATCCAACACCATCAAGATTACCAATGTTTGTGTCGTCTTCCTATGTTATTAGCAGTGTGAAATTCTGAGACGTTGAGGACGAAAAGCTTATCCAGTGTTCTGCTTCTCAAATCACTTTGACTTCTATTATATTAGAACCGATTACCAAATCATCAGCAGACATAATGCTCATCTGTTAAGTTATTTAGCACGAAGTTTACATGTTTACTGTCCTTGACGTTACAGTCTAACAAATTAAATTGAATGATCTGACCTTGAAGTGCATTGTTTAACATTGAAATCGATACGAAACGAAAACGAAAGGTACTCAGCAACCTTGCGTACATTTCTGTCACAGACAGTGAGTCACCAATATTATTTGAATGCCAATAACACTACCTGGCTGTTTAAACTTGGGTAAGTGAAACAGAGGTCGGACCAGTGACCAGATAGTTGGAAACCAAGTGCTTAAACCAATGAGTCATGGGTTGAAATCGACATGTTCTATTTACCTAGTTAATTAAAATTCTAAGAATCTTTTTTAAAACCTTAATATTTTGTACAATAAAGACAATCCGGTATCAATGAAATATTTGAATGAACAACAAAAACGCCGTGTATTGGATTCCCTATCGCCTAGTCTACCATTAAAGGTTACATCACATATGATTGGTGAAGATTCGTATTGGACACGTTGTTGTCATGCAAAATGGTCAGTTATTGATATATCACGTTATGAAGGATCTTGGAAACGTGCATTTTTTGAACGTTTATTAGAAGAAATCATTGAAAATTTTATACCTGGAACAACATATACACCACATTTACATGAATGTATTGATTATGCTGCACCATATGTCTACTGTTTAAATATTCGACAACTTTTACCACCATTAAAACAAAAATATAATAAAAGGAACTCAGTAAGTATTAACATTTTTGTTTGTATCTTTTTTCCCTTCAAGATAAAAGTTAACTTTGTTATTGATTATTACTGTTTATTGACATGCTTGTTATTCCCCGTTCTTTTGTTGGATCGAATTGTTCGAACTGTATTGGTATATGAGCTCCTACACGGATGTCTCGATATTTCGTGGATTTTAATTATGATAATTTGGTTAGTTGGATTACGAATCGGCATTTGAAGCGATGGGTACGAGGTTTGAGTCTCAGTGGGAACAACATCACTCACTGGAGTGTAGGTACATCCAGCTGACGAGTCCCAAATAGAACGAAAAGCTAGTCCTTGATTCTTACGCTATCCGCTATCAAGTTAGCATCATGGGTATGGAGCAGTCGATACGTGTTGTCTATACCATATCAGTGTGCAACGGTTTTGTTAGTCTAATGTCATATCAACATTTCAAGATACATGTCAGTGAGATAACAGATAGATCAATGCGATGAAAATATCATCAAAGGTAGTAGAAAGTTATAGGTAGAAAGGAAGAGAAAGTAAAGTCTGTAGAGAAATTTGGTATGACGATCGAGATGCAAGTGATTTATCTGAACTACTGAGATCGATTCTCAGCTATATCGCCTACAGTTTGCATCCAACGATTTCTGTGATCATGTGGACACCTACTGGGACTGAGGTCACATTTGAGTCTGACTGCCTTTAACTTTTATCCAACTTAACCTTACTCTGACTAGTGTTGTGCAACTGGTCAAATAGTGACCCAGAATATGTAACACATTTCGCAGCCATTTGAGTCTACTGAAGCTTAAAACCTGATGAGATGACATACGCCTTTTGTTTAAAACTCTAACGTGACGGTTTCACGACACAGAGTTAGTGTTACGAAAGTGACGGTGGCCGAATGTTTAAAACTGAATACGATAAAAGTCGTAAGAATAGTGTCATTCATGAATCTTCGGAAGTTTATTATCCTAACACTGGTTGAATAAGAACATCAAGAAATCGTTAAGTAACCAGCCTGACTCCACTACCTTTTATTTTTGTTGGCTGACATTCTGGTCATGCTGTCTTCACTTGTCAAGCCTTGTACATTTGATATATACGTTGGATACTAGTTGGTTGGAGGAAGTCAACAAGAAGTCTTGCTTAACTTACGCTTTGCGCTTGTGCATCGTTGGAATTTCGATTTGGGGTGTTTTCCGGGATTTATTGATTTCATCATGGACCAAGAGTAGTTGGAGAACTATTAGGAACCTAAAAGCATTGAACAGCTGTTTTATCTTAGTAAGGAACTCCTCCTTGCAAACTGATAGAAATAAAAAATTGTGGATCATTGAAGTCCAATCTAGTGGCTCACTGATGACGTGCTTGTCCTGTGACCTGAGGGTCCTGAGTTGGTCCCTGGCGTTGTCATAGTTAGATACTGCTGAAGAGTTCTACACTAGGACGAAGCAGCTGTCAAGTGTTAACAGGATTTTAATAGTTCTCCGGCTGATATCACTTAGAAATAAATAAATCCCCATCTACCTCTATACCGAATTAATGTCCAGTGCTCATTGGTGACTTTCTTCGAGATGAGGTTTCCTGAAGTGACCAGTCAGAAAAACCATGTTGTACTTCAGGATAGGTACTCAACAACGTCATTGGAAGGAGGTTGCTTCATACCATGAATGGGCAGTTAATTGTGGACTATTGGATTTCGACTTTGTGATCCATTGGTAAAGTGTTAGCCGCTGGGTCTAGAGATCCGGGTCTGGTCATTGAAGATGTTATTCGTATGTAATTCTGAACTTGTCAGTCATACTTGCTTGTTTCTAGTGAAAAATGATTTCTATCCCTTTTTGTATTCTTCTCTCTTATTAGGATGGGGAATCAGGGACAGAAAGTGAATCAGAAAGTCTCACTTCATTACAACAAATGGATCATTTAGATCTTGGCCCAGTTTTGAAAAAATTATCAAATTTACACGAATTAAGTTTATCCTATATGGTAAAAGATTGTGGCATGAATTTTGAATGGTCATTATTTCAATTTACAACACGGGATTGTTTAAATCTCTCCACCGCTGTTCAACAACATAAACATTTGAAGGTGTTAAATCTGACAAAGTAAGTCAGTGTGCATTCCAAATAAAAATTAAGAAATATTTCAGTATTTTTGTCAATTGTTAATCAAACCACACGCTTGATGATTAGGTCAATCTGTTACTTGTAGTTTCCCGGTGCTATATAGGGTCGAATTACCCCACCACTGTTGGCAGATGGGCTCCTAAGTGGATACTTTGATGCTGCTCGATTTCTCATTATGTTATTCCCGCCTTTGTGATGAAAAGTGAAATCTAGAACGTGACTTCAATCCTATTTGGGACTTATCACCTGAATGTACCTGCACCCCAGTGAGTGATGTTGTTTCCAGTGAAAAATGAACCCAGTACCCATCATTACAAACAGGAAAACGTTATCCAGTAGGTCAATGGGGCACAAGTAGATTCCATTGCTAGCAACCAAAGAGACAAGAACATATTACTTTTTTTATGAAACCTTAAAATGCAGGCGTTAAAAAATTTGATTTACATAGAAGTCGTTTCGTAAAGCATTCAAGTTTTTTCATGGGAAAATATCTAGGATTCTATACCCTATTTACATAAGGCTTCATTTAGATTATTGTTTCCTGGCAGCTGGTCAGTCCCTCAAAAAGAAAGCTGATACAGCAGGACTAGTTGAAAAGGGTTGCTTTTAAATAACTGATAGGTCTTCAGCACTTCCTTACGAAAAGCGATTAGCAAGGCTAAGCTGTCGTAGGAAAAGAGGTGACCATATTTTAACCTTTCGCTTTGTGAATAATGATTTAGGTTCTTAATTACCGAAGTTTTTTACTCCCTTGATAGTGGGTCACCAAAAAGGACCCTAGTGTAAGGTGTATTGGAGATCCCATCGCTACACCGTCTATATGTCGGTACATTTTGTTGTTGAACAAGAATTGAACATTCATGGTGCAGTTGACCAGCAACTCATTTAAATTTTCAACAGGGATGCGTGTATTGATTTTCGTTTCTTCCAGCTGTTCGAAGATATATAGTCCACAGTTTGAATAAGAGGAACATTAGAAAACAAAGATGCTACATCAAGACATGCCATACATTTATCCATATTATTTATGCTACCTATTCTACTGACAAAATGGAAGGTATCCTTGATGATATCAATCAGTAGTTCAATGAGTACGCTTGTACTGTTATCGTTTTTGCACCGAAATGATCATTGACTTTCAGATTTAGTTTTCTTCTCTCTTCAGCTGGCCTAGTGATATTGCGTCCGCAGACGAAAATGAGATACCGATCGATAGATCAGGTGTAATAAACACTTCCTGGTTTGAAATTCTAGCCTAGTTTCCTACAGGAACCGAAGTATTCAAGATACACAATGCCTCACACGAAAGACATCATGAAGGGTGACAGCATGAAACCTGTATGAAATATACTGCTGACTGGAATAAGTAGGCAGAGACCACTGATTTCTGTCCACCATTCAGATCAAGGTCATTTAAACGCGTGATTGCCACCTCACTCATCTGAAGGACTAGATTAGGAGTGGTGTATCCAGACTGACTCACCGGATTTCGAGCAAAGATAACCAAATTCATGTTGTTTAGTCCTGAGTCCCAACCGAATTCCCTTGACCATTTTTGTACTGCAGCCAAAATGCCAGGTAAACTATCACCACGATACATTTTGATTGGTGCCAGATGGTTGGAGGTGGTCGACAGGAAGCCATAGATCTGTCAGTCATAGTCCGAACAGCCCAGTACTAGAGTCCCTGACTGCAGCACTGAGTGGCACAGGTTTAAATCTCTCGGGTGACATCCGTTTCCTAGAGACTGTAGATACTCTTTGCTGACAAATGTTGCCAAGCACGAAACCTTGGTAAACCAGGATTTCTTATTGAATGACTTTAAGCATGCGATATCAATGTATTGTCCATGGTGGGGAATTTCATCGCAGTTTCTCTAAAGATACGAATTGTTTTGAAATGACAGTGAAGAAAGATTCTCCTGCGTCCATTTGTTTGCAATAACGCTTTTATATCCTAAGACTTCAGTAGGAAACAGTTTAGAAAAGAAATAGCTGCAGGGACAAAATATCTCCCTTGGCGACAGGTAAATTCGGCTGATGAGTCCCCAATAGGACGAAACGAACATACTGGATTTCAGTGCTAGCCACTATTCACCCTTGATTTCATAAGCAGCACTGCTTACGGGTTTTGTTAAACTACACTATGAAATCAATCTAATGTGACTGGTTACAGAAGGTACCTTAAATGTTATAAATCCTATCACAGGTGATGCACTTCTTTGTAATAAATACTGAAGTGAAGAGGCCCTTATTTCAGCTAACCATTATATGAAATCGTGATTTACACCTGAGTTTCGTTAGATGTATTAATCTCATAGAAAATGAAATGTGAACGCTTAATCATATATCCCTTTGACCAGGTTGAAATGAATCAGCTAAGGGGTTGATGAGTTCGTAACCATAACTACAGAAACAACTACGCTTTTGAAATGATGGGGAATATTTCTAGATCAGGAGGATGATTTTGGTGGTTTTTTGTTCTCTGATCTGGATGGTTTAATCGTTGTGATGCTAGACAACATCATCAGCATACACTTTAGAAGGAAGTGGGTTATGAGATTCTTTCTACAAATGCCTTAGTAACTTATTCTATCGACTTTGGATGTAATTGGTTGTTTCTGCTGAAATCCACCATTACACTATATGTGTTACTGTTGGCTATTCTGTTGACAAGAATACTGACTTTCATTTATTCGTCCACATGAAAACCAGCTAGCAGTGGGGCATCAGGATATATCTTTGCTGATATCAACGGATATAGACCATTCTGGACATGTATTCGACTGGAAAAATGTGGAATTACAAATAATGCCATAGGATTTTCAGAAGCTTGACTATTAATTCAGTCAGAGATCATCAGACACTTACAATGGCTCAATCTTTCAGGCAATAAAAAACACAAAAAACAACATGAAGGCGCAAGTTCACACTAGCAGGATAGCTAACCAAAACACACATGGAAACAACTAGTGACACTAAAGGACATCAGGAAAAGGTACTAGGTCACTTGTAGAAAAAATCTCTCAGCTCAATTCTGTCGGAAGTTTGTGCTGCTGATGATGTTGTCTAGTATGACAATGAAAGCTACGTGATTAAGAGAACGCAACACCATGAAAATACCTTCGTTGTTGATACCTAAATTGACTGTTCTGGTATCATTGTCTGTCTGTGTAGACGGTAGTATAGGAACCTAAGAAATCACAGTAGTGTTTTCGATAAATTTAGTATTTTACTTGGTAAACATTTAATCCTAAACCTGGACATTTTCAGCGATGCAACATAGATAATTTCAGCGGTGGTCATCTTTAATTCTGTTAGTTTAACAAGGGGTATAGATAAACATTTTCTTTTTTTCCCCTCACAGTATAATGTTTATTGAAATACGATAACATAACCATCGAAAAGAAAAATTTCTCACACATTACCTTTATTCTTATTCCTATTATTTATACAGTAGCCATGTTAATTCTGAACAATGTCGTATTCTAGCCACTCACCTGCAACATCATCCAACATTGGAATGTTTAGATTTATCGCATAATTCCATTGGTTATCGGGGTACACGTGCATTGAGTAAACTAATCACTGGTAAAAGTTGTATCAATTCACTGAATTTAACTAATAATCGATTAAAGTCAACTAGTGGATTAGCCTTAGCCTATGCCCTCTCTCGATCAGAATGTTTACTGATAAAGTTAAATCTACGCATGAATAGAATACAAGATGATGGTGGAGTAGCTTTGGCAAAGGTAAGTTGTGTTTCAACTATCATGTTCACCTTTTGTGCATATAGCTGCTTAAAGCTTACTTTAAGCAAAATCAGTCACCATGTTTAAGTCGTTCACAGATAGTTTAATCAAAAAAAAAACATTTCGAAATCAAACTAGATGTACTTGTTTGTCCGGACCTTAGTTCTGTGTATTTGTCTCTATTAGATTGATAATTAAACTGGTTTACCTTGAATCATGTGGCTAAAATGATACACAACTCAATCTCACTGGCCTACGCATTACCCATGCTTGAGAGTCACCAAGTGAACTGAAGATAAGACTAGATACCGTTTTTTTTACTGCTTTTTAACTAGTCTTCCTATCAGTGTCAGTCACAAATCAGGTATCCATGAATGTCTGGAGGTAAAGATCCCCATTAAAAGGTAATTTTTATCCCATCTATGACTATGAAAACAGAAATATGACTTGTCAACTTAAGTACTTGATTAACAACCAATCAGTAGATATTCTTCATCACCTAATTATTAACCTCAGGATAGGTTGTTATTTGGATGGTACTACATGACTTCACACATCTAGTTATGACCTATAGCCTTGTACACGAACTGTATACACGGCAGGGTTAGGGTTAAAATCACGGAAAGGAAAGTTAATCTAAAGGAAGCAAGGATGAGATGCTCAAATGTCAATTCTTCATCAATTCAAGGCTGAAATCTAAACAGAACTAGAAAGTGAAAATAATTTATTTCCAAACTTTATAGCTAATCGTATGCTTGATGTAATTTAAATTGCACAGACAATGGAGGAAGTTAGAATCGTAACAATCATTTCACTCTCCAAGTGGAATAATGTAGGCGTTTTGTTTGATGGTTCTAGCTGACGTTTGATGTTCATTTGATTCCCTTTTTATTTCGCAAATACTCTATCTATGGTGTTAGAAAGGCTTTCTCTACATGCTGCACAGTTTTCTACTGCGTTTATAGACAAGATTTACAACAGCTCGATATAAGTTTTACTCATCAACAAAGCGTATTAAAAATCTCGAGTGAACTGTTTCGACTAGGAGATCGAAATCCGCATCACATAGTGCTGCAGTCAGACGCGTTACTATTAAAGTATTCAGACCATAACTAACCTTTTGTAGGGCTAAATTATATATATATATATATATATATATATATATATATATATATATATATATGCTTTGCCTATACCGCACTGAGGTGCAAAAATCAGAGGGCAAAAACTAGTTTGTGACTGTAAGGAAGACACTTTATTCGGTAAAAAGGTATGATTTATATACAGTTTTCATGATCATATAAAAAACCAATAGGTCAAAAGGTAAATACTTTTTTTAATTGGCCAAGTGTAAGACAAAATTGTCCAATACAGTTTTTCTTTAACACACTGACATGGAACAAAAATTCCAATGCTAAAGCTTCTATCTTAGTGACTAATGATTTAAAATGTTGATTTCCATTTAGGTCACTTCCTACCAGTAACATGTTTTATTTTAACACCGGATGGTCCAAAGAAATCCTAACTTCAAGGGAAATGATGTTCTCTGAAAGACTGAAACCCACATCACCTAACATTTCAATCAGAGACATTACTATAGACCTATTCAGACAGCGATTGGTCTCCTAAACGATTGGATTAGATACAGGGATTGGTTACTGTAGAGTAACTAATTTCATCTCATCTTCTCCTGAGTACTGATCGAATCCTATCGATCGACCAGCAAACTTAGTTGTTCATCATTAGTCCTTTTTGAGGGTTCTATGTATGAATTTCAACGTGTGTATGAACGCAGAACCAAGTTAAGTAGAACCCCTTCTAACTTTTAACTTCAAGAACTAAAAGCTATACTGTTGTTCATAATCCTTCATTCTGAAAATCAAAGAAGTTTCAGAGATAACTGGTGTCCTTGGTTGTAATGTGTTCTCTGAGCCGCGTTGTTTAATCGTAGAGCTTCCATCATCTTTCTAGACAACACTTAATCTACCGACTATTTTGCAACGGAACTTAATCTTTACCTGGGTTTAGAAAAAAGAAACACGTTAACCTCCAGTGACCAATCTAATACCATACTGTAGGTTGTCAATAGCGGCTTGAAAATCTAAGACTGTCTGAGACTAACGACGGACTGTTTTAAACAAACCTCAACATTGAGGTAGTGTTCATCACGGAAAGCAGTGGAAAGTTGTTTCGTGCTAGTATGGGACTCCTCGGTTTTATGAACCCACGACCCGGCTATGGATCGAACTCAGTACCTTCAGGTGAACGAGTTAATCGTTCAGCTCCTGGGTAGGAGTTCAATAGTTCGCAGTTTCCAACTTGTGTCAATTTACAATACACTGTGACTATCATCCAAGGTTTTCAGATGGCATCTTCTTCTTTTCCGACCGGTGATAAACCTCAAAACTAAAATCCTCATTCATTTCAAACATACTTTACTGTATAGTGTTCATTAGTGACATGCTTCCAGACGAATAACACCAAGTTCCAATGAGAAGATAGGACCTATGAGGTCAATCAGTCAGAATGGAACCAGATGGCATCTGAAGATTATGGACGAAAGTCGCGTTATATCATGAATTGACCGAATTTGGGAACTGTGAACCACTGAACTTCGACACAGTGGCTAAGTGGTGATGGCTGCGTACTGCTGAAGAGTCTCACACAAAGACGAACTAGCTTTCCAGTGCTCACATGTTTTCAATGGTTCCTCAACTGATGTCAGTCCATCATGGATACTACCTCAAATGAGGCCATCTATCACAACCATTTTTATCAGTGCTTCTTTTCAAAAGACGCTTATACGTAGATGTATGACTATAAGAATAATAATCGCTTCATTCCAAACAACACGTGATACGGTGTGGAATTCTCAGCATATAATATTCCAACAAATACGCATTCCGTACAATATTTTTACAAGAAATAATTATTACGTCTGAAAAGTGTTGATAATAGCTATATTAAAGACATAAATGTGAAATGATAAGCTGGTGTTAGATTCACATCTAGTCTGGACTCGGATACGAACACAAAATTGAGTGTAATTATGGTAATGGTAGTTCATTCAGGTAGTACAAAAGTCTACATTTCCAAATAGGTATCTTAGTAATAGTTATGTGCTGCATTCTTGAGCATTTATCCATCCATTTCGATCCAACATGAAGTTTTTCCTTTGTTCTAATCTTAATTTAAGAAATGACAGTTTGAAAACATTTTAAAAATGTGCAAGAGTACATGATATTTTTCGAAGACATAGTTTTATGATTAAAACATACTGAAAAGCAAGAATTTTATGAAATATATTCGGTGGAAAATTTTCGATGGGCCAAGATTTAAGGAAGCCAACTTACATCAATGTGAAACTAATCTGCCTGCAACATGAAACATACTTCAGCTGAAGTGTGCAAACATTGAAACAAACACATTTGGTCACATGAAGGAGAGAGAAGATGATTGTAGTGAAAAGAAAATCTCTTTACCTTCAATGAACTAATTCTCTTAGCTGTAAACTCATAAACATATATAGTAGAAAGGAGAGACTATTCCAGAATCACTTTCGATCAATAGTCAACACACACTGAATACTTTCTGAAATGATCAATCCCTTACAATGGTTATATCACAGAAAGAGATTGTACATGCTTTTTTCGAACTCATATTGACTGTATAGACCTTTGAGTTACTTAGCCTTCAGTTATGTCTGGATGACTTACTATTACCTCTCTTGATTAGCCTAATCATACTTTGTAAAAGATTTTGAAGAGAAATCACAAGTATTAATGAATAACAACTGACATCTGTTGCACAAGAGGTGGCCTAGTAGATAATGCTTAAGCATTTGAAGCGGTGGGTAGTGAGTCCCAGTGTCATAGGCAGCGGAATCACTTACTGGGGTGCACGTAGATCCAGCTGACGAGTCCCGAGTAGGACAAAACACGTCTCTTGAATTCTACTTCTAGCCACCAGGCAGACTACAAGATTTCAAAGGAATTATCGAAAACAGACGAATGCTCTGACTTTGCTAACTGTTCTGGAGATCTATTACCTTTATCTCTTCCTCGTTTAACCTAGATAGTGTTTATGAATGTGATTGGCTCGCTTGATAGATAGAAGCTTTTCATTTAAAATCCTAGAAATATATTTCGACAGAAGTCATTATCATTATGATTGATATAATGATTTGAAACAGAAAAGCTGTTTTATCTTGCACATTTCAGTAGCATATTCCCTCCGTTTTAATTAATTTTCGGAAACTGTATGCTTTATAAATTTTGAGGTGTACAGACAGATATCTTGACTGAAATGAATCAGCTCCTCTGTACTCAATATTTCCAATTTATTGAACTGAGGGTATCCGGCATGTTGCTATGTAAACTTTGTTCGGCGTGAATTACACTAATGGTAAATATTTTATTCAAATAAATATCGAAAATGTTACAATAAATGAACAGATTACTTAGAAGTATGCTCAAAATTAATTATTCAACACATTATTTGAACAAAATAATGATCACTAGTGCCAGTCACGCCACACTCAACTTACATGACAACATGCCATATACCGGTAGTCATTCATTGACATTATACTTTTTTAAATTGTTCGCCATTATTCATTGACCTTGTCTGTGCCTTTTTTGTTTAAAACTATCTAGGCGTTAATTCATAATTCAATATTGAAGCAGTTAAATTTAGCTGTAAATGATTTACATGAAGATACAGCTGGTTATTTTGCACATGTACTAGCACAAAATAGTACATTGACTCATTTAGATTTGTCAAATAATCAAATAGGTGTGGTAAGTTCTGATGTTAGATGAAGTTTTTGTATTTATTTTTGTAATGTTGAATAATAGGAGTTGATATGAACTGAAGAATCAACAGTTATATTATTATTTGTTTTATTTGTCCCTTGGGTTCCTAGTGGAAAATAAGGCTTCATTAGGACGTCGCTATTTCACTCTCTTCTCTGCTTTTGTAGTGATTAAAGGCTCTTTCTAATAAGGATCACTGTAGTGGGGATTTAAAAGACGACTAGGTGAATCAACTAGCGGGTCACTGAGTGCAGATAGGCACAAAACGTGTTGATGGTTTAAAATTATTGAGTGGTAAGGTTAATGCATACAGTTTACAACTGACCAATATGTCTATGACCTTGAACAACCAGTCATGTTGCAAAGCGATTCACCAATGTGTTATAACAATGAATGACGTACACCTGCTTTGTCTACAGTCATCTTTTGACTTTATGTACTCAAGTTGGTTCAAATACTCCGTAAGACACTCCAAAGAAAAATTAGAATACTTTTTTGACATTTTGTTTCTAAGAGCTTTCTGCCATTATTTGCATTCTATACCACTGTGTAAATTTTAAACTGTTATAGTGTCTTCTATACTCCTAAAATCTGATTGGTTGCTCAAGGTCATCTGTATGTCCATTGACTTCTTTAATGGCCTCATCATTTATTGACTAAAACAATTTTTTCACTTCAGGTTGGCAGTAAGAAACTCCAAGATGGAATGGATAGCAATACAAGCTTAATTTACTTAGATCTACGCTTCACTGGAAGTAGCCAAGAGGCAGAATATGCAATAAGTCAAAGGATTGAAATGAATCATGACAAAATTCGAAGATTATCAGTAAGTCAAAAGAATGAAATTAAATTGAGTACAATAAGTAGGCACAAATTTCTATGTTAAGCAGACAGCTGGATTTCGTGTGTAGTTTGAAGTTTTATGTGAGAGCTGAATTTCTATTAGTATCCTAGAATACCCTCTTATTGTATGGCATTGCCCTGCTCTGTGCCTCACTTTCTGCAAATTAGTGGTTCAAGATGATTCAGTTTAATATTAATAATGAATAGTGGCTAGCGATGGAATCTAAGATGTGCGTTTCATCCTATTTGGGACTCATCGACTGGATTTAAACGTCTTCCATTGAGTGATAGTGTTTCCACCGGGACCCAAACCTTACACCCACTGCATCCGTCCAATGCTGTCTATCGCACACAAAGTTCTATTCGTGCCTTGGTAGTACAACGGATAAAATTCTGGCATTTGAAGCGATGGGTGCCAGAATTGGTTCTCAGTCAGAACACGATCACTAAAGACGACGGAAGTACCCACAACTGATGAGCCCTAATTAGGGCGAAAGGCGTGTCCTGAATTCCACTCCCAAACATCACCAAGCAACTGTCATCAAAATGAAGCTTAGGGCAATATTGGGGTGTCCGCATAGGAGCCTATAGGCCAACAGATGTTGACGAGTTCAACCCAGTTTAACAACATATAACTATCAGTACCAAGTAAATAAGATACAACTTTTATCTTATTCCTGTAAAGTTGCGATGAAGCCAAAAGAATTGACTTTGGTTTTACTTTTACTTCAATGTTTGTAGAATGATATCTCAGAGGTCAATCTCTATGCCTCAGGTTGGGTTACAAGTGTGGCAAGACAACAAATGCATCGTTCAGAATATTCTAATGACTGGTTATCATTGAAGGCATTGAAGATATAGAAGCATGAGGAAGAAGAAGAAGTGAAAGATGACGATGACGATGAAGAAGTATCAAATTTTCCAAGCATTCTTTCCCTCCTCCCCATCGTAATTATTATCTTCAAATCCTACAAATAAATAATCTTCTAAAAGAAACTGAATTACTCCCCAAAGAGCTGATCTTCTTTTTCTTAAATAGTTTCGTTCCATCTTCAGAGCTATTTTTTACTTTAAAAGTGTAATATATCGTCGCTCATATCATTTGAAGATGACTTACTATTGAAGAAGCCATCCAGGTGTTTACCGTAAACTGAACAAAATGACAAATTAACATATGGAGTATTTATTATCTATTTAAATGTGAAATAATCAGTTTATACAATAATGAATAAACTGTTTTCATTGAAACAGTATTGTTATCCCGATGCATTTAAATATATGCATCATTCTCTTTACAAATAATTTCTATCATAGAGAAAAATCAAATTACTGAGCATCACAATATGTTGTTTCAGATACTTCGATGTATTTCGTGAGTAAGACGTCTTTTTATGGATTTGCACCTAAAAGATTTCATTAGAGAATACTCTGAATTATAGGTTGGGAGTATCTGTAGTTCTTGTGAAAAGCTGATTAGATGATTTTTACGAGATTTTGGCGACATGTTTATTGAGAGTATACGTTTTGTTGAGCTATATTTGGTACTTTGTCCAACATATTGAGTTCATTTATGCGATGTCTAAATATTGAAAAAGATTTAAGGAGAAACCAAAAGTTGCTTGAATCCCACAAGGCTACTAAAAAAAAGAGTATACAGTATATTTCCATAAGACTTTTTGAATGCATGGCCGTTTTTACACACTGAGGATTGTGTAAACTCTTCCCATTATGACATTCATTTCAAGCTACTGGGAATGTTAATCTTTTTTGTAACAGAATTCTTATATTTGCAGTGCTAGAAATTGAATTAACGGCTATGAACCCTGAAGCAGAATGTGGAATTCTTCACTTAATCTAAAACTTCAATGGATAATCTAAGAGTATCATACGTATGCGTCAAGAGTTATTTTTCTAAGGTCTTATAGTAGACGAGAGACCATTGGAGTTCCCAGTAGACCAGTGATTACCAACATAACCTACATATCGAATCAATCAGGTCGATTCTGAGCCATATCAGCTGCAGTTTCCAACTAACAATTTCGTCTGTCAAGCCAACCACAGCTGAAAAGTTTACATTTCCATACACGGTTGAAACTGGTACTCAAAGACTTCATGGGCTGATGGAATAGTCTGGTCATCTTTAACATTTTTTGAACTTGAGGATATTTCAGCTAAATAATCCAGCGGGGCGAGCAGTGACTAGGCATGCGTATTCCATGTCCCATCCACCTCAGTTGTTGAAGGTTCACAACTCCACCAAGTGAATTTCTACTTCTGCCTAGAACTCTACACCTGACTTCTGCATAGCTGACGTGATGACACCGTGAAACACAGCTTGTACCTCGAAGGAAGCGGTGGTCAAACACCTGAAGCCTTTTCATATCTTACACATTTAATGGTTATGTTTCACAGCCATACAATAGAAAATAGCGAACTGCTGAGCCGTAGAGATATCCTACCAAGGCAACAAATGATTAAACTTGTGAAAACCTAAAAGAACGTCTTTATCCCTGTGGAGATTTTGTTGGGCACTGACCCACACAGACTGATCTGACTTCTTAGGTAAGTGAAGTGGTCAAAGTGCTCAAACATTTCACACACTATTTTCAGATAGATTACCACTGAAAATCAGTCGTAGAGCAACAGTTTGCATTCGGATGCCAATAAAAGCTTCACAAACATTCTAAAACTGCCACTCAAAGTATCCAGAAGATACTACACCGTTTCAACATAATTCCCTAATAGGAGTTTATCTGCGTATTCCAGATATGCCAAGAATTCTCCTGTCATCAGATGAAAAATGCACTTAGCAACCTTGTTCACATTCGTGCAGTAATCATTGAGCCACACCTGTTGTGTGAGGGCTAGGGATACTACGTGGCTGCCCAAACCTCTGTAGGTGCAGCGTTATTTGAACCCTTGACTTGATCGTTAAAAGTCACCTTCCTATGCAGTCAGATGATGAGAGGAATATCTCCATAAGAATGTCCATGATAAAGTTGAATAAGAATGGAGATTAGGCATCCTTGACGGACGCCACTCAAAGTACACAACTCAGGTGATGGCTCACCGTAGTCCGTAACACGCTCAGGATTATAGCGAAGTGATGTACTTACTTGGCACTCCTTCATTGGGAGACACTGTCATAAGAACTCTAGATCGATACAGTCAAATACCACCTTTAGGCAGGACAACACAGTGAGTGCTGCTAGTCGCTAAATGCATTTATTTTCCAGAACCTGGTGAAGGATGAATATCAGGTAGATAGACACACAACCAGCCCTGAAACTTGCCTGATTTTCTTAGGCCTTCTGTCCCTGACACTCATTCGGACTTCTGATAATTATAGAACCCAAAATCTTAGACACTTTTTCCATCGTACTAACTCCCATGTGGTTGTCACAAGAGGACTTCTTTCCTTTCTTGAAGACTGGGACAACTAGTGGGTGATACCAGTCAGAGAAGATTGTATCTGACCCCTATACTAGTTAAAACTTCAGTTACCTTAAAGCCCTCGATCACCGTTCTTAAATACTTCTGGAAACACTCAGTCTGATTTGGATGCTCTCTCACACTCCAAATTAATCACAGTTTTCTCTGTTTCTACAGGAACTTGGAAGTCGATCTCAGTCTTACTTTCAGGGTCCAGCTGGATAGCTGGCAAAGAAATAGTAGCTGAAATCCAGGTGAACTATTTCTGAGAGTGTCCTTCCTACCGTTCAAGTCGTCTTTTCTGGAGCTGAATCGCAGACCAAACCTCCTCTATTATAGTTTCACTTACCACTAATCTTTTCTCCCCAGTTTTCATGATAACTCAAAATCATTGCCAACTTTTCCCCATCGCCCCTGTCTACAACTCCTAGTGGTCATGGACTAGACTTTTTTTCACTGCATATTTAAATTACTTCCCCTTCCTCACTGTGCTCGAAGCCCACAAGAATGTGTTCAAACGTATCCATTAGTTCATAAGAAGCCGCTGAGATCCATTGGAACCTTCTAAATTCCACTATTCGATTTCAGTTAATTGATACTAACTACTATGAGTAAACTTTGGAGTTTCGGTCCAATTTATTGGTATTAGAATTTTCACATGCTCACCCACTATGTCCTAGTGTTCTACGTTATTTAGGATATAACTATGTTAGAAAAACAAAAAAACAAGTGAAAAAAGACAATTCTGATCCATAAAATCGCTGAATGTTGACATGATTCCTGTAGGTTCCCACTGCTTGTTATCCATGGACTAACCGAAACCACTGCCTAAAAATTTAAAAGAATACAGCCGAAGATCACTAGTAATTGTGGACCGAAGTAAACATCAAGTTTTCATAGTAATTGGTTATTTGTAAACTTTTATTCTCTAAATACTTCAAAGAAACTTGAAATCGTGTACAGTCAATCAATCAGTAAACCCCAAAATTATGAGGTAGGACACATGGCCAGACCTGTAAATGTCATATACATTGGTGTGATCCAATCAGTCTAAATCACCTCTCTATAAATACCTGAAAACAACTAAGAGCATCGGAATATATATCAATACCATTACACTTTCTTTGCATGTATTTCAACAATGCCATACCCAATTTTCAGATCACCTTTTCTATTTCGGAGGAATCATATGGCTACCGAAGGTGGTGCTTAAAGGTTATTCTCCAAGCATGTACTAGATTATACTAGCATGTCACTTCTTATGAGAATTCTACAGATTTCCTCATCATGTATCTAAATTCTCTTCATTTCTTTCTCTTGTTGCCTTTCAGCTTCCTACAACAACTTATATTATTATAACTTTCACTTCTGTATCCCCCTTTTTATTAACTACCCATTCCCTTATGTGGTGCACGGATCTGGTTGTACACGCTGCTATATTGATTATGTCACCATCAGTTTGAATTTCCCTCCGCCAATTTACATCATGTCTGGTACCAGCCAGGTAACCGATAATCGAATAAGGGTAGAATTTACTGTTCGGCAGCTAGTTCTGCTACACTTAACTGCTTTGAAATGTGGCTTTTAATGATAGAGGATATGAGAAAGCTTCAGACGTTCGACCACTTTTACCCTCTTAGGATAGGTCATGTGTCATTAAACCACCAAGTTAGTAACATAGACGTTAAGTGTAGAGTTGTAAACGATGTCATATACCTTCGTCAACTCTAGTGGCTGCGTCAAGAATTGTGTATATCTATTCATCAGCTGCTCGACCGGAAAAGGCTAACTGGAGTATCTATAGGCTGCAAGGGTTATCCACAGTTTGTGTCAGAATCGACCTCAGTACCGTATATCTTACATCACATTTACCCTATTCCTTTCTTCTTGTGACTTAGTGCAACTTTCTCCCTGTTTCTTTCATCGTTTTGTCATGTATCTTGTCAAGATGATGTTAGATATGGCATAAGCTGGATCACTAGGCAGTTTTGAAATGTCCCATGTTGATGTCAGCTAACTAACCCGTCGGCTTACGAATTTCTAGAACTCATACTCGGTGCCTAACATTAACATAGGCCTGACGCTGACAACAGTAATCTTACATTTATTTCGCAATCATTCATTGACTACTGAATGACCTTTACGTATAACTTAGTTGACTTTTTGGTGAATGACTCGTTTTTACGTCATCCCACTCAAACACAGTCCATCGAAATGACTGTTTTATTTCAATAAAGATGTTCATTGAATTTGAAAACTTGTGGATACTTTACCGATTTCAACCAGGTAGGATTAGGGCTTAAATCCAGCTTCATCTTATGACGTCGTTGAGTAGCTGTCGTCACGTACAAGTTTGCCCCACTTCGGGAAATCTCATCGTGAAATGAGACACTGACGACCACTAGACAGTAATTTGTGGAGATTTTATTGATTTCACGTTTGCATTAATCATGTACTGAAAAATGTGTCAAGAGAACTGAATGAACGAATTAAAAGAATAAAACAGAACGCCGCTAAAGTGAAACCTGGGATCTTGTAACTGAACCTACAAACTCAATTAGATGGTCAGCATTGACACGTAACTTTGAAGATACCCAATGACACTGAGCATATAGAATCACAGAACACGGAAAACAACTGTTCAAATAATAGTATGAATGTCACTGGGTGATTCATACCTAGAGGACTGCTTGGATCTTAAACTATCAAACATTTTCTGCTTGGTATATTCGCTTTTAATTTGTTTTAATCTTTTAAATACGTCTTCTGTGCATTCCAGATACTTCTGCGCATTTTCAAAATGTTTTCAAGCAACAGTTTTTCATATTAGTGTTATTTCTTGTACCAGCAACGGTATAATACAAGCAATAAGACTAAAACTATACCTATCGCACAAGAAATCTCCA